AAGTGTGTCCTGTTTTGCTAGAGGACCCATCTAGGAGGCAGGAGGAAGGCTGCATGTCTGCTCTCATGTTAGCTGTGCCTGGTTCTGGGCCTGGATCTAGTGTGCCTTGAAGAATGTGAGAGGGGGGTGATTAGAAGATGAAGCAAGGAGGAATCTGTTCCCCAATTGTTCTCAGCAGCCTTTAAGCTGTCTTTGTGTTCAAGATAATACAGTTTTCTCTAGGAAAAACTATAGAGGCTACTATAACTTGGAAGCTGCTAAAGACAGAGCTGAGAGCAATTTACAGGAGGGAGGCCTGACTTTGCAAAATGCAAGATGTGGTGAATCCTAGTAGACTAGACCTTATTTTGACTCCTCCCTTAATTTTCTTCTCAAAACTTTCATAATTTCTAAACGGAAAGAACTAAGAAGAGGAAGTGTAGAGGGGACCTTAAAAGAAGTCTACAAGCGGTTCTGATTTATTTGCTTTTGATATGGTCATATTAAGGAAGAGCTACCATACATTTTTGACTGAGCCTGTCCTACAAAGATTCAAAACTTGAATGGTAGCTTATTGTAGTAGTTATTACAGCCTGTTTTTTTTTTTGTCATTGTATAACAGTATTCTTCAAACTCCCCAGGTTACAAGAGCATTTTCCTTCTCAAAAACACCAAAGAGAGCTCTTCGAAGGGCTTTAATGTCACATAGTGCAACGGAAGGAAGAAGTCCTAGTTCGGCTAATGAGAATTATATAGGCAGCCGCCTGACCAGTACGTCGTCGCTGGCAGTAAGTGATTTGGCTGTGCAGGCCAAATAAGTAACCTTCTTAAGAGCACAGTTATTCTAATATCTGGTGTTGATTTTATTCTAACAATTTCAGTGATCCACAGTAGAAAAGAGCTTAACTACATTCACAGATGTACTGAGTACTGAAGTTGGATAGGGACTGCTATTTAAGGAGGAACACAGGATTTAACTTTCAAATATTGCCTATGACTGCAAATAGACATGCTGTAAACAGACGTTAGATTTCATAGCGAAATGGCATGTCCTTATCTGCTTAATCTACTTAAAATGTTGCTATTTGAAAGATTCTTGAAGCATGCAGCTACAGCCAGTTACCTAACTACCATGACCACATTGAAAAGCTTGTCTGTGGTATAAAGAGCAGCGGAAGATTGCTTTTGAAAGTATTTTAATGACTAATGTAGAAGTATAAAATCTGAGCTGATACACAGAGGCTAACTTTCAGTACTGTATACTGATGCATGAGAGTCAGTACAATTTTAAGTCCCAGAAGCAGCCTGTGTTCCTACCACCAGAAAAGTCAGCTTTCTGCCTAGCTTGTGCATAAACAGGTGCAGTTAAAGCAAGCTTTGACAAGTCATTGTGATATAGTCTATTGTTCTCCATAGCCAATAAGGTATGTGTTCAGCATCTAACTTGAGGCTCTAATCTAGTAAGAATACAGAAAGTTATAGGGTATAAGGGGAGCCCTGTTCTCTAATATTTTCATAATGCACCTCTTCTTAAATTTGGAAAGAGTATTATTGCATAAAATGTGATGCAAGGTACACAATAATTGTTTAACTCTTCAAAAAAAAAACCAACACATCCTGAATCTCTGGTCTGGTAACAAGAAAAGTCTTTCTTCCAGTTTTTATCGTCTTTGTCTTCTATTTGTTTGGTTTAACTTTGCTATTCAAAATCCAGAAATATTGAACCATTAATTTCAAAAGCCACCAACCTTCAACATCTTTGGTGCAGATAGGTTCCTTATGCCATGTATCAAGGTTGCAAAATGACTACTGCAATACTGACATTGATTAGTAAATGACCAAATGTTTTTTCTTCCCCAACAGGGTATTCCTTCTCCTTCCTTGGTCAACCTTCCCTCAATCTTTGAAAAGAGAAGTCATACATTAAGTCGATCGACAACCCACTTGATATGAAGGAGGCTTAAAATGCAATGCTGTATCATGGTGACTGACAAACAGCTGGCTGTTCAAATGACCTGTTGCTGACATTAATGGTACCTTAGTCATTAGCACTTAGCAATGATTAGCAAAATGTTAGTTAACACTAAGTTAATCACAAAGGTCTTTTCAGTTGTATTGATGCAGATCATCTAATCAGTGGAATAAGTAACTTGGTCTTCATTTAAGACCCGGTAATCCCTTGCACAAGGTTATTTTTTCACTGACAAAATGGAATCATTTTCTTTTATGGAAACTGGCCCCTGCAAGCAATAAACTGGTTTACCAGCTTTTGAAACGAGGATGTTGATCACATAACTTACTGCTAGTTTGGATGACTCTCATGCTCACCAGACTTCATCAGTTGGCTGAAGGCTCTAATGTTCAAGATGTTGATTTCTTAAATGGAGATGCATTATGAAGTATCTGACCTTTAAAGTATGACAGTTAACCTGTTGTACAGCTGCTTATTCCAGATATTTTTTTATAAACATAGCTGTTTGTGAAGAAATAAAATTCAGTATCTCTATGGTCTTCTGCAGCCTCACTGTAACACAGTGCTATGTTATGTGGCTTAATCTGAACAGTAAGCTTAAAGAGTATGACTAGCTTTGTCCACAAAAAGTGGTTAAGAAAAAAATGACATCTTTGAGATGGAAGCTCAAGAAAAGTAATTGCATTCTCTTACATTACGAAGGGCTGCTTAAAAATAAACAAAAAAGAAACAACTTCTAAATACTTGGTTAACAGCTCACTATTTAATGCATTGAGATTATTGGTGTGACATTGTAATTTAAGGGCCCGGTTTTGGCGTGTTAAATTTCAGGTGTACTCCTAAGGCTTTTATCTGGCTTTCTCATGTATCTGTGTTGTCCTTCATAACTACATCTCCTCTCAAGAGTCAATATGATTCAATGCTATCTCAGGAACCGTCTAAATATGTATATTTCTGCATTTCTTTAACAGTTTAACTGTCTATATCAGCAGGAGTTTTAAACTTCTGGTATCTTCTCAACCGCCAGTGTCCTGTCTTATGTCTATATGTAATTAGTGATGTTTCTGAATCTGTCAGACTGTAAACAGTTTTTTATATCTTTTTGCCAATCCAAGTGATGTAAATAAACTGGTTAAAATAACACTGCTTATGGTTTTGCTGAAGAGGATTTTATGAAAGTCTGTCTTTCTGCTTAAAAAAAATTGAGTTGCAGCCTACAAATGTACTCTAATAAAGTATATAGCTATTTTTAACAAGGTATACAGCTTGGTAGGCCTGAATCTGCCAAACTGAACCTTTTATTTTCTTAGTATGTTTGCTATTCTACTTTCTTTCACTGGATGTATATCCATGGGTGTTTTGTCTTTATCCATTCAAAGCAAACATCTAAACAAAATATGCACTGACACTTATGTAATGGAATAAATATCTCTAGGAAAGAAACCAATAAATACTATGCTGAAAATATCAACCACCAGTTTTGGTCTCTTGTTGTTTGGAAGGGCATCTTCAGCCTAGTGAATTCCAGATAAGTTCTTGCAGAATTTGTTCTCTGGCTCATACAACTGTTTTTGATCTTCTCTTTAATTGTAGATGAATTGTAGATGCAGCTTTTACTTTTCACTGTAAAACTTCATGTAGTTGGTGTGTGAACATAAATATTTCACAAACTAGTAGCAGCACTATAATCCTAGTTCTAGCCCTACTCAGACTTCCTGGCTTCTTAAGTTGAAGAACAAGTCACCTTCAGGGTGACTCTACCCTCTTGCATTTTGGACATGTCCTTACCTTAACACGTTATGTCAAGCCTCAGCTTCAGATTGAGGTGACTTAAAAATATATCTATAAAATCTTTTGTTAGGACTAAGAAAATAATGGCAGTGTAGTCTCACTGCCATTAAATGAGGTAATTTAAAACAAAGTATTCATTAGCTTTATCTCCTGCTTTTTGTATTCATTAGCTCTATCTACTGCTTTTTGACTGCACTCCAAGGTGATGCCACTCCAAGGTGATACAGCAGTTAATTGAAGGCATGTTTGCTCCCAAATTTGTGAGTGTAGCTACCACTGTGGATCTCCGGTTTGTGCTGAAAGCCCTTAATTGCTTTTTGGGTATAGGCTGTTAAGAGGACCAGCAGTTTTTCAGTGAGACAGATGTGAAAACAGATTTTTGTTTAAAAATAACAAGGTAATAATTCATATGCTTGTTGATTTGATCACTTTTCTCTCATATTCTCAATCTGATTACCTAGAGCAGTGTAACAAATCCTTTGAATACAATAGGGGAAAAAAAAAAGGAATTATCTGGTCAAATGTAGCAAGGGATGGTCATGCTGACAGTATTAGACGTTTGCTAGCAGAGGGGGAACTACTAGTGAGTGAATACCTCTACGCATTGGATAACAAACCGCATCAGTATCTGCTGTAGTCATAGTTAGTGGGGTTCCACGGAGGTCTGTTCAGTGCTTCTGATGACAAAGTGGATAGCAAAGTGGAGCGCGTGCTTATTAGCTTCACAGCTGTCACAGAGCAGCAAGAACCTTTGGGATCGAAACAGAACAGGATGTGGAGTTGGAAGTGAGCTTTCTGTGTTACGGGAGCATTCCAGAGTCAGAAAAAAAGCTGTTGAGTGGGTGTTGTTAGGGGGGATGTCTCGCTGTTCAGAGCGATTCATCCAAACTCACAAAGCGAATACAGCTTTGTAGCAGTGGGCTTGCTCTCTTCCCGTCTTGGCATGTGTATCTCCAAGTTCTGGGTGGTGGTGCTTCCAGAAGAAAAGACACTATACAAATATGCACATTGCCATGGAGTTCATGCTTTTTGACATTTTGAGAAAATCATGGATTGTGTTGTCAACCTACCCTTGTTACAAGCTGGAACATGGAATATGGCTCAGAAGTTGTTTATACTTTGTAAACCACATTTAACGTTTAAGAAGCCTGTATTGGTATTGGGTGGTAGTTTGGAGGGAGCGTGTAGACTAGAGCTTGTACTCAGGCAGGGTGATATATAAGGAAGAAACAGTGTGTGCTTGCTTAAAACACTTAAAAATGAAACAAAAAGAAACCACTGGGATGCTAAGAAGGCAGCAATTGGCCATGAGCCTGCAGGAAGCCTGGAACACTGGCTGAAACCAAACTCTTCTGTTGATATCTGAATCATGGGGACTTCTTAGCTTAGCCTGGGCTTGTGCAAATCCAGCCTTTCACAAATCTATACCTATAATTTATAAAATCACTGGAAGCTATTAAAGCATTTATGGACTAAGATAATTAATCTTTTACAGGTTTTTGTTCAAAGAGAAAAGGTAGAGAAATTACAGCTGCTTGAGAGCACCTGTTTGTGAATGTGTTGTAGATTCAACGGGATGGCTTGACCTGTATTTTGCAGAAAAATAGTTGCTGCTTCAAAAATAGGAACTGAAAACTCCACTGTGAGATGGATGTTTACAACCTCTGAAAGCCAGCCATCAGAGACAAAACAGGGGCTAGCTAGAACGTACTTTAAAAACACAAAAGCTGTTGAGAGCTTAAAATGTTGGCTGAATGCTCCGTGCAGCTGACATTGGAAGGGTGGTGGCAAACTGATGCCATGTTCTTTGCCTTGGGACTGGTTTTGAAGCGCCGAGCCAGAAACCTGCTCTCTCCCATCAGTATACGAAAGCTGAAATGGAAATGAGAACACCATGAAAACAAACTAATTAAACGTCTAGTGAAATAGATTTAACACTGTCAGACGTTAGGCAAACAAAAGTCATTTTTAGATAAGAACATTACCACTATTTAGGGCTGAATTTTCAGCTGGCACAGACTATTCTATGAGAGTCTCTATACAAATGCAACCATGCATTTGTATGCCCAATTTAGGCAGTCAGAAGTGCAATTACCACTCTACCTGCAAATTGTAATTAGTTTAAGTTGTCTTGGTGCTTTTATCAGCTGTTTCATATCATGACTCTAATTTTGGAGACTATAGTGGGACTGTAGTGGGAGCTACTCTCTGATGTTGAAAGAAAAAAATAATTACAAAAAGATGTGAAGCATCCTTTGTTTTTACTCTATTTTTACTCTATATAGGGATAGCATATTTGGGAAATTAAGCAATTAAAGTTCTGATATTAATATAAATATCAGTAGAAAGAGAAGAACCTTTATACCTCTCATTTGCCCCTCTCCCTCGGGCATCTCAATTTCTTGGAGGGCCAGAGAAGAAGGAGGTGGCTTTTGGCCTAATGATTTGGCCTAACGAGAATTGGAGAGCCCAGCTTTGCTGCTCAGCTCACAGCATCCCCTTATTAGGGGAGAATTAAGCCTTGAGCCCATCAAAGCCCAGAAGCAGGCTCAGTTCGGCTGCACAAGCAAAGGCAGCTCATGTTTTTCTTGTACCTGTGAAGATCAGATCAAGGATGACTTGCATCTCCCTTCCAGCACCACCTTCCCATTTCGGAGATCGAGGAAAGCACAACAGCCTAGTAAGCACGCCATCAATCTATTTATGGATTCTTTGGGATCGACTAGAGTATAAATTGTATTACCTGAGCTCTTGAATATTTTGTTTCACGTACAGTTTAAATGGTAATGTTTGTTTGTCGGCGTTTGGAGATACTGACTACCTCTCAGCACTGATGCACTCATAAATATTCAACTTCTGTCTTTACCCAAACAGTCAGTAATTTATTGGCTATCTTGGATTGTAAGCTCCTACATGCTTTCTGCTGCTCTATAACAGCAAAGATGATATTTCAGTGGTTCCTCCAGTGTTTCAGCCTGAAGGGAATGTAAATATAAGCATAACGGATTTTGGAAATGTGTCTTTTTCCCCGTGTTTCAATGGCTCGTGCATTAGAGTTGGTATGGCTGGCAAATCAGCACTGATTGCTAATTAAAAAGCTGAATATATTAAGGAGTTTCACACATCCATTTCTTTCTCAGATTGAAACCCTAGCTGTATGAGCAAGTGCTAGTGAAGCTCTAATGGATACAGTCTAATTACTTGCCATTTCTGCTTTGACTTAACAGTTCATGAATTACAGTAACTCTGACTGACAGATCATTGCTGATTACTAATTAAATGGCAGAATTCAGTTCCTTGCACCTCCAGCATTCACCCCCATAAAAAGTGGCACCGTATCCTAACAAAAAAAGCTTTCTCTCTCCTCGTTTGTTGATATGTGGAAGCTGATGGTCTCATCCCTCTGGAAAACAAAGATTCTCAGGGCACATTTAACAATAGTGGTGGATAAATATATTTCAAAAATAAAGTTACTGCTGTGTTGCTTATAAAAGAGGCTTTGGAGAGAAACTGTTGAAGGCAGTATAACAACTCAGCATGTTTCCTGGCACTCTCATTCTCTTATGGATCGCCTCAGCCCTCATTTAGTGAGCACAAAGAACAATAAGCTTTTTAGCCCTTTATCTGCAGAAGGGGACAATTCATTCGCTGCCATAGGTGCTCACTAGGTCACCCAGACACTAGAATGAACGTGGGAATGGATTGTCTGTCTTTTCCTTTCTCCTCATTTGTCTTTTCTATTCAACAAACCCTGAATTTAATCTGGTTCTTGACAGTATTACTACTCTCCTAATCAGTGATATGTTTTAACTTGTGATAGCAAACTGTAAAAATGAGCTGTTGGGGTTGGTAATTCTCGGGATGTTTTCCCTCCAGTCCCGAACAGCAGTGGGTAGAGTTATGGACAGCCAGATAACTATTTAACTCTGCTGTAACTTTTCTCACTAAACACTGAAATACTTAGTTCTACTCCAGATGTTAAAGCAAGAATAAGGGCTCATTAAGGATGCTACAGAGCTTTTCAAACACATTAAAAAAAATACTGCAGACTGACAAACTTTTTCTTTGTGCTGATTTCAGTCACTGATATTACTCCAAAAACGCAAAAATCTTTTTATTCTAAGAAGAACTGCTGTACCTCTAATATCTTACTTTGTAAGCATGTCCCGAAGTGTGGGAATATTTCTATACGTGGTTTGTAAATGTCCTTCAAAAATAATGCTCAAGAGCAATGGTAAAAAGAAATGGTGTGTTGCTCGAGACCCTATATATCAAAAAGCACAGTATAAAAATTCTTGGCATATAGGTGATCATAATGGTCCCTCTGGACTTAAAAGGTATTACAGAGAGAAACCGCAGAAGTTGCTTCTATAATTTAAAGCTTTATCTTTTCTTTGTTACTAATTCTTCCTGTCTGAGTATCACCATTCACCTTAAGCAAAATAGATTATATTATCACTGTGAGATAATAATAAAAAAGCCTTGTATTATTAAAGTCAGTACCAGTAATAAATGGAAAATCTGGAGTTCTAATGGGTGGCAGTAAGGTCCCCTCCTCTTTGCCCCTCATCCCCTATCTAAAGTAAGTATTTAACATAACTGCTATTAATAGCAACAAAAAGCAATGCATTTAAACAAAGACAGGAAATGGGTCTGAAAAACAAACGATCCCAGGTCATCACAGCTGAGCCAGCAGAGTAACTTTTAGGAAAACTTTACCAGCAAAGAAGACTGTGTGAAATCTTGAAAGCAGCTCTTCTGACTGCAAGACTTGTGCGGTTGTTTTCTGATGCTTGCCCGTGTAACTGTGGTTTGTGACAGTGTGATCTTTCAAAACAACAGGAAGATTTTTACAAAGATGTACGGAAACCCTAGGGAAATGGGGCAGCTGCTTTCACCAGGCGGTTCCGAAACTTCACCGAGACCTGCTGTGCCTCATTTTCTCCCTGTGCCTGAGAAATGGGAGATCTGCCTGCCCTGGAAGTCTCGGTGAATACAGGGATAAAGCCTTGTGCAGCCCCCGGGATGGGAAAATTCCAGCGTTTCCTCTCTTTGACTAGGAAATGCCTGGAATGACTCACTGTAGTTAGTGTAGCAAGTGTGACCTTTTTAAAGAAGACTGCCTTATGGAGCTGTTTTGCCTCTACTTTCTCCAATTTTCTTTTACTCCAGAATGACCAGCTTCAAAGAGAAAGTTCACTGCTCTAATTGAATATTCTCCATATTGAGAGGGGTAAAAATAAACATTCTTCTCAGTTTATTCACGCATAAACTAGAGTCATCCAAGTGTGACATCTGAAAGGAACTACATGATTATAATCTGAAATGAGAACAAAGTTCATCTTGTGCGGTTTCTTATTTTCTTTCATTGCAGATTTTAAAAGAGGAAAGAGATCTCAGAATCTTAATACCCATTAAAGCTGAAGGAAGCCAGGGCTCCGCGCTCCAGCGTTAACCTTTTTAGTATTCTGCCGGCTAATTGTCTGTCCGTTCTACCTTTTCCTCCCAGGTTAATGGGGTGGTTAACAGGGGAGGACAGGAGTGGTTGGCCAATCACACTACAAAGCAAACTGAAAAGGTCAAAGCGATGCGCTGTATTATTCATGGGCTATGCCTTGCCGGGGTATCTCGGATCTCATGTCTTCTCGTGATGAATTGCAACAAGAACAAGAAACAGCCCAACGTGAAATTGGCTCTGGTGACAATGATCGTAGTTCAAATGGAGAAATGTAAAACCGCGGCCTGCTGTTGTTCTGTCCGCTGAGATTAAAGATGTGTGATCACATCTAGCCCCTGAATAAGGAACTGGTTACGTTTGTATGACGGCTTGGTTGGGTTGTAAGTATAATACTCTGCGTGTGTATGTATACATATGTGTGTGTATATATATACACAAATCCTGCTAATTTTAGCCATAGGCTGTGTCTTGGAAGTAGTGTGTGGTGCCTGATCTCCCTCCCCTCTGTATTGCTAAACTACTGATTAATGTACGGAGTACTTAATATTAGACTTCTATTTAAATTGTGCTTGGTTTAAAATTATTAATATGCTAATTCCTAGAGGGGACACTTGGACTAGACTCTCTAAGGTGGTCCTTGCTCTTAGGGTTTGCAAACTGTGAAGTCAAATTTCAAGGGAATTCTGAAGCAAGTGTTCTTCTGTCCTTTGCTTTGGTGTGAAATGGGGGTGGAGGGAGATACGTGCAGAGGCAGGAGCGTGGCTGAGGTGCTTAGAGTTATTTTCTGAGCGGTGTCCTCCCCTACAGAGGGAGAGTAGCACCACAGACTGCTACTGAAGGCCTAGTAGCGGGTTCCATTCAGGTATCTTCTAGTTTAGTCCTCACCACTGGATGTCGTGAGTGCACCTTGTCTTCTTCCCCTGGTGATGTTCAGTTTATTTCTTTAGCTGTACACCCATTCTCTTCAGACCACAACCTTGTAATTTTCAAGCGTTTTTACCGTACCCCTTTGAGAGAAGAGACTTTATAAACAGTAAAAGGAGAAATGTTTATTAAGACCAAACTCTGCACCTTCTGTGAGTCATAAACAGTGTAGGAGCCAAGCAGTAAAAAGGTACCTAACACCTGAAGGAGCTCACTCTGCTTGTGCTCGTTGTCCCTTCCAGGCCTTGGTACAGAAATTCTGGCATTTACAAGGAAGCAGTGATCACAACAGCAAGCAAAAGAGTTATGAGGCAGTCTTGGGGAGAGGGTATTTTTACTTTTTTTTTTTTTTTTTTTTTTCCCCTGTCTTTAAATTGGTATAGTGCTCTTTGCTTTTCATTGAGTGGTTTCAACTGACAGAAGTTGCTTGGGGCCAGTGAACCTGGCTGTCAACAGATAAATCATTTTTGTGACCAAAAAAAATGATGTGGCGGAGGAAAACAAATGCCCACCATTCATTTGGAAACTAGTCTTTGAAACAGAAGTGACCTGAAAGTGGAACTCTTGGGTACTGGTCTCAGTTGTGTCCTTGTGTGCAAGACTGAAAAGGAGGGTGAGGAATGAAGTCCAACTGGTGCTAGCTCCTGATGAGAGGAGCCATGGTGTGCATCGTCACCTTACAGCAATCCCCTGCTATGAGGCCAGGGAATCATTATAACACAGTCTGCAATTTCTTCAAAAGACAAGATTATATTATTTTATTATTATTATTATTATATTATTTAGGGGAGCCTAGTGAATCACATGCATTGGAGACTATGCCGCATGCAGCAAGCACCAGACCCACCCACACACCCCTCTCCTTCTCACGCCATCCAGCCAAAGTGAAGTACATTCATGGGGTGAAGCTGCCTCTCAGAAAGCCTTGAGTAAAACACCGGCATGCAGATCTGGGCCTGGGAATCTATGCAATACAGATGGGTATTTTTGGAAAACAGCAATCCCTTTCCCTGTGGCAGAGGCTCCTTTCATATTTCCTTTGTGGTGTTTCACAGATGACTTCTTCTGACAACTGCCTCAGTCTGTGGCTTTCTGGAGCTAAAGGGCGCTGTAGCCAGATGTTGGCCCAGATGTTTCAGACACCTAACAGATTGATTTGGGCAACAGCTTCTCTCTCTCAGTGAGGAATTGATCTGTAGCGTAAGTTTTTCTGCCCTACCTGAATGTCAGATACCTGAAAGTGAATTGTCACATCTTGTCTAGGGTCTGGGGTTCTCACAAAGCCCTGCAATGAGCCTGGTACGCTGTGCTCAGTGCACCAAGTTCGACTTTTTCATGTTGCACAGACTGTTTTCTCACCGGCAGTGTTGTTTTTTCCCCCCAAAGTTCACCTCTTTTCATTGCACTTTTTTTTACCTGGAACGATGAAAAAGAGTCTACGTGATTTTGCATAAAATATTGCAGAATTGTAAACTAGTTTACATCAAATTAAGAGTATTTGCTTAAGAGCCTCATGATTTACCAAACTGTGTGTTGACTGTGACTTGATGATCCATGGGGAGCAGTCTTTCTGATTTAGTATGTGTCTGCTCATCAAAGATGGATGATTGCCACTATGTGTCATAAAACTTCATCTGACAAAACCAACTCCATTGCAAAATAATGCTGTCTCCAAAGGGCAATAATTCTTCGTTTCTATGTCCCACATGTCTGAGCTTGAGCTGGCTCAGATTTTCTCAGAAAGATTTTGTTGTGGTTTAACCCGGCCGGCAGCTAAACACCACGCAGCCGTTCGCTCACCCTCCCCCCTCCCTCTCCGGGACGGGGGAGAGAAATGGAAAGTGAAGCCCGTGAGTTGAGATAAAGACAGTTTAATAAGACAGGAAAATAATAATAACAAAATAATAATAAAAATAATAACAATAATAATACAATGATGATAATAGGAAAGTAATAATAGTATGTACAAACAAGTGATGCACAATGCAATTGCTCACCACTCGCTGACCGATGCCCAGCCTAACCCCGAGCAGTCCGGCCCCTTCCCCCCCAGCTAGCCACCCCTATATATTGTTTAGCATGACGTCAGATGGTATGGAATACCCCTTTGGCTAGTTTGGGTCACCTGTCCTGGGTCTGTCCCCTCCCAGCTCTTACTGCACCCCCAGCCTGCCCGTTGGCAGGACAGAGCAAAAGGCTGAGATGTCCTTGGCTTAGTATAAGCACTGCTCTGCAACAATTAAAGCATCGGGGTGTTATCAGCACTCTTCTCATCCTAAGCCAAAACACAGCATTCCACCAGCTACTAGGAAGAAAATTAATTCTGTGCTAACTGAAACCAGGACAGATTTCTTTATACATACTCTGTTAACGATGAACAAACGACTATCAAAGCTTTTGCTGGTTCTCTCTTAGTTTAAAAAAAAAAATCTTTTATGAGAGCCTAGGAAGATGGTTTGTAGCAGCTAAAAATCTGCGGGATTTAGACTCCTATCTGTGATAAATAGATAACGGGAATTATGTGGCTAAATACCTTTGAGGTCCTAGATTTTCAATTAAATCTTAATGCTCAACTGGATTTTTTCTTTCTATCATTTTGTTTTAAAGTTACCTTTGAATGAGAAATTATACGGAACTGAATCCTATTTTTATCGGTTGAGGTTATTTTCTTACAAAGTAAATGCAGTGAAGGAAAAGGAACAGACTGCACACATCAGTTAAGGACACCTAGCAAACATCATCCAGTAAGGTGATCTCTATTGAAAAGTAGGTCTTTTAAAATGAAATAAAAACTGTGATTCTGTGAAATTAAAAATTATTGTCTAATGGAGGAAAACTTACCCGTAGTGCACAGACCAGAGCAAAGGGCTCCAGGTTCTTAACCCAAAGCAACGCTGGCCTCTGTTTTTTGCTTTCTCTTTTTGTTGTGTCATGTTTCTTGCACTTATCCTTGTTTCAGCTATAAAGAGCAGGCTCCCACCTGTCACCTTTTGCTATATCAATATCTGTAGTGTAAAGCATTAATGTGGGAGGAAGATAATGTGAGGCCAAATTCCTTTTAGCTAAGGACTGGGAGGAGATGCATGTCCTCGGCACTTTTTGTGTGACAACCATGCCAGGAGGGTTTTACAGGGTGTGGCTACAAAATATCCTCAGGTCAGAAAATCCATATAAGCCCCTTTGGCCTGATGTGCACCGCTCTGTAAAATCAAGTCACGGGCTGCAGAGGTGTGGGCAGGTAGCTGGGCTGTAGCCCCAGGCAGTTTTTGGCAGCTAAGTGTATGTAAGTGTGGGTGTAAACCATTAGAAGCCCTCCCCGGCTTTTTCCTCATGGATGTAGAGAGAAAAATGCACCGCTGGGTGTTACTGTTTAAATAAACAAGACAATTTAAAATAAGCCTTGCGTGGACGTTTATTCCAGCCAGTTAAGGCTAATGAAGTGCAGGAGTGTCTTGCTAAAGATACCCCATAGCGAGGGGAAGGCTCATTAAGTGGAAAGGTGGCTTTTGCTGACCTATCTATCAAATATCTACAGTGTTAATTTTCTCGTTGGCTGTGTGGCCATGTCTTTAGGGCTGGTGAGGGACAGCTTTGTATTTCCTAGGCTCTAATGTTGCTGCGTATTTTGAAGCCTCTTCATTTTCATTTTCTCCCTCCTAGCTGCTCTCAGCCTTTTGTTCTTTAAGTAACTGTCTTCTACTTGGTATAAGAAGTCTTCAATTATTCCGATCTGCAATTACAAAGAAGTGTTAGAATCATGTCCCTGTCCCTGCATAAAAACATTAGAAACTTTGGCAATTAGTTTATTTCAGAACTAATTCTCATTAGAAAGAAAACCATGTGAAGGCACCTCTCGTACAATTGGCTGGAGTAATGGTACATGATTTAATAAATTTTTTGTCCCTTTCTGTTTGGCCTTATGCACGCACAGATTCAGTTCTGTGAATTTGGATTCAATTACTTTACTGCTGTGGAAGAGACTTCTTTCATTGAAATCTGTGCATTGAAAACAGAAATTTATCACAACTCTGTCTTTAAATGGCATTGAAAAACAGCCACTTTAAAAGGAAGGGATGATGAGGAAATTAATCTCGGGCAAGTCTTTCTTGATAAGGAAAGAGAACAGAAGCTTTTGGCATTTATATGCCAAAAATCAGCACATGGAGAAAAATGAGTATTCTGCATTGCTATGGCATGAACCATTTTTCTATTAAATCAAAATGAAGTTCTGAATAAATATGTTTTCCCATGAAATATAATTCACTAGAGAATGTAGTAAAAGAACAGATGACCTGTGTCCCCCCCAAATAAAAACATAATTATTCTAATAAAGAGTACATTCAGATAGATATACTTTGCAAGGCTGATTTCAGAACTGAAAATAAATGTTCATAACCAAAACCAGATATTAATAGTACTGTGTACAGGTATTCTGCGAACAACAGGCATTCATAATTTCATGGCTATCTCCCCCCGTGCCTTGCCTTTATTCATAAATTATGTCAATATTTGTGATGTGCAGTGTTTCTGCATGGTGAGGATGGGAACCATCTCCCTTCGCACTGAGTCATACTCAGGACCTAGACCCTATATAACGTGAGGATCTAAAGAATCAATCTTCCAATTGCATCTTAAGCTGCAATCTTTTAAAAAAAAAAAAAAAAAAAAAAAAGTCCTAATCTATCATCCTGACACTCATTTAGTGGAGCATTGCTTCTTTAGTCACAGCACTGAGCAGCTGACTGTGAATTAATCTGAGCGTGGCTCACCAGTGCATTTATTTGTATATTTTGCTGTTATTTATTTGTATATTGAGCTGTTAGGAGAGTGCTCCCAGCCCCGAGCTTGGAGCCGTGCGTGTTGGAGAGGGGCGTGCGTGTGATGGAGACGCCACCAGGCAAGCACCAGAGCTCGTGGGCAATTACTTCTGCTCCTCTGGGGTGCTGAGGGCACAGGAGCTCGGCCTCCTGCTCCCCACGAGCTTGCACAGGAGCAGTTTTACCCCGTGTTGGTGACCCCAGTGGGCTTTGCTTCTCTGCTGCCAGGAGGGCTGCAGCAACAGGTGCCCACGGAGGTTGGGGCTGGCTCTGGTGTGACGTGCTCACAATATGAACATGCAGGGGATTAGGGAAAGGAATCGTTATGCTAGCCTCATTTTTAAGAAGCTGAAATAAAAGCTTAGGAAATCATTGATCTGCCAAAAGCAGGCAGGAAGTCTGAGAAAGACTAATCGCTTGGTGCCAAGCTCCAGTCCAGGGGCTCAGCCATATTAAAAACAACAAGCAAGCCCCCAAGGCTGTTCTGCAACAGACCAAATTAAAATGTCTCTGTGACTTCTGTGATTATAAGGAATCTGTTAGATTTCTGGGAGTAGAGCTCATGTTTGGGCTAGCACAAAGGGTGTGAAGAGGCAGGGAAATGGATCCCAGGCAAGTGGGGAGGGGAAGGCGCGAGGGAGGTCCAGGAAGTGATCAAAAGCCCCAGGAGCTCCTTTAGGACCATCCAGCGGTGGCCAAGCTGCTGGTGATGCCACCAGAGAGCCTGGGGTGGGATGGTGTTCCCACCAGAGCTTGGCTGCTGCTGTGTGCTTTTCATATTTATAGAATACCTGTCAACTCCAGCCCCCAAAATAAGTTCTAATATGGCATATCAGGGGTGGAAATAATAGTTGCTTACATAATTGCAATGCTACTGACACAGCTGATGAGCTGATGATGTTATTTGCACAGCAGTGATGACATTCAAACCCTCGCTGACTTACAATTACACTGTATGCGCTGAGCCCTGGCATGATTTAAATTACCATACAAACACAATGAAAATACAGTCTCTTGACAAGATAAAGGGGGGAGGGGGGATAGCTTAAAAATGTCTTTTTGGTGGCTGCAGTGTTCAGTAGTGCTTATTCATGGCTTTTTAGCTTGCACATTTCATTTTAAGAAAGTAAATTGGAAGCATTATGTTCTGCCTTTTTGCCTTGATTTAAAACCTCCCCGTGCCCGCTCTTCTGCTGTTTGACTGTGGTGAGCCACCTTCAGGGCTCTCGTTGGGAAATGCAAATTTTTAAAATCAATAGCTTCATCTTTTTTCTTTTTTTTTTTTTTTTCTTTTTCTTTCCAATAAGTGCTTAAAAAGGAATCTGTGTGGATGGGAGTGTGCAGAAGGACATATGTCACAGCCAGCCCAAACGTGACTAGTGTAGGGAAGTGGGTTTTGGAGAAGTCTCACGATTCACTCCTCAGCTGACCTCAGACTGTTGCTGAGCCCTGTTGCTGAGCCCCCAGGGCTGTGTAGCCAAACTTTGCAGCCACTACACAGGCTGAAGTGTCATTATGTATTCTAAAGCACCACTAAATCCCACCACGGGAAGAGCCCTGCAGGACTTGATTCACAGTGCTGGTGTTGCCAGCGATGCACGCGAGGACTCACCCTGCACAGGGATCAATGCCAGGTCAGCCCTTCGCCCTTCTGTACGTGGATTTTGCTCAATGTGAATTATCACTTCTTGGGCTTTTTCTCAGTGTAAGTTCTCAAGTGCCTGGTGGCCTGAGTACTTATGGCGACAGTTTGGGCTTCAATGTATTTTAATCCTCCGCTGCTAAGACATCTTATTTTCAAGATATCCCAAGTATTTGCTCCCCCAGGTTCTCCCAGCAGTGCAGTGGCAGCATTTCTACTTTGGTTAAGTATCTACAGACCCAGCCCAGCTAAAGGCTGCCCAATGCATTGCTGCCCCTCAGTACAAGTCGCTTCTGTTTTTCCCTCATTTCTGGCTGCTCCTGTCCCTATTTCTTTCACTGGGCTTTTCTTTCTCTGGTCTGGCCCCTCTGATCAGCTGGAAGGAGCAGGGGAAGAGGAGGTGGATAGGATAGAGAGCAAACTGAAAGAGGTGAGAGGCAATGCAATGGGGTCAGCCTGAGGGATGAACAAAGGAGGGTCTCCTCAGGTGAGGCACTCTGTGGTTTCCCTTTGGCTTGGGATCTGATCCGGACCTATGGCAGTTTTTGAAAGTGACTTTACATAGGTCCACACAAAGGCAGGGAACAAGACCTTGTTTGTAGCATACAGAAACACTTCTGATCTTGCCCTTCTGTAGATGTTGTCCAGTGATGGATAAAGGGGAGCGAGCTGGCAGTCCTGCTCTCGGATGCTGTCCTGATTCCCTCACGGCACAGAGGATGTACAAGCAGCACCTGCTGCTGCAGCTGGGCTGCAACCATCATAAGATTTCAGCGTAAAGGACCTCTGGAGGTCGTTAAGACCAACCTCCTCTGCAGAGCAGGACTTCATGGGGTTTCCCCTCTTTTTCTGAAGCCCCTACTGCTTTTCTGCTAGCGTCCAATCAGTCACTTCTGGCTTTGTCCAGATGCGTCTGGTTTTGCCCTGAAAAACGCACAAGGCCAGTATATTCTTTGCTCTTCCTATGCACTCCCTGGGATAAGACATCCCACATATGGTTCCTAATTACGTGATATGCACCAGCTATGAAGAGAGGCCACAGAGACACTATCCATCATGCAGGGTGTTTTTGTCCAAGTCCTGATGGGCCACAGATGTCACGAAACTTGTCAACCTTTGCTGCAAGGGGGCTGTTCCAAGGAACAGATGCCCATGGTCGATGGCTTGCTGATGGTCCAGCAGAAGCTTCATGGCTTGTCCAAAACTGGGGGAGATATTCTCATCACAAACTAGCTTGTGTTTTTTAAAAATACTGGCAAGAATCTGAATATAAATACAAAAATATCAGCAATAGAAGAGTTTTCACCAGAAGAGTTTAGAACAGCACAAATGAAAGAGCCGGGACAAACTCCCAAGGACAAACTCATGTAGGAAAACAACTCTTTAAAAAAATGTAGATAGAAATACAGCAAGCAGACATAAAACTGTACAAGTCTGTGTTACATGGATCCAAGTGTGTGCAGGCTCTATGCTGTCTAAACATCCAAACTACTTAAATCCTGATACAGGCTGGGGGAGTCAGTGTGAAAGAGGAAAGAGGTGCTTTAGAAAATGTATGCGGGAGCCATAAATAACAGGCAACAGCAAAAAGGATTTGGGGGCACAACAGAACCTATTCCTATTACTCGGGAGCTCTTAGTAATAGAAGGCAAATGAGCTGCCTTTAAACACGAAGTACCTCTCCGTGTTTTGCTTTGTACCCCTGCACTTGCTGAAGCACTTGTTGGGTTGAACGAAGGAACCAAAGGAATGGTATGGAAAGAGCCTGGAGGGTGAGCAGGGATGGCTGTACGGGGTGTGGAGGAAACGCTGAGAACATGCCACAATTGTGATTTTACAGCTTGTGTGTTAAGTGAAGCATTTTTGAGCTGCTGTGGTTGGTTTTGGAAGGGAGCTGGGTTTGCATATAGCACATCATCTCCTGAATAGCCATGGGCAGGCCAGAGTCATTTCCCTGTTTGTCTGGCGATGTAACCCACTGACCGCACAACTCTCGCCTTGGACCTGCTTTTGGAAACGTTCAGAGCTTTAGATGCTAGTGCCAAAGATAAATGTGCTGTCCCTCATGCTCCATTTCTGCAGTTTCACATGCCTTGTGTACACACTGCCTTTCTTTAAAGAACGCGGTCTGACAGCGCTGTCCACATTTCCACCCTGAAGGACAGAGTTTAGTGAAACACTGAAAAATTAACAGGGTCTTAACACGTTAGCAAAGCTCCAAAGCTAAAAGCAGACGGAAGAAGGAGTATTTGCTGATGGGAAACTGAATAA